CACATTTATATGATCATGTGAAACGAAGGAGCATAATAGATGAAATGAGTCATTTGAACAAAGTGTTGGACAAGTGAGTCGTGTGATTTGTGTTTGGTTAGGGGTTGAGGTCAAATAAGATGAGAAAATTTGATATGGGTTGAACTGGACCAAACGATGTGGTGAATGTGGTGAACTGGGGAGGGGGAGGGAAGGTCATGTCACATGTGACAGAAAGCCAACTGCTACTTCTGTGACCTTTTCCTTGAGTCTCGCCTACCGGCTAGTGTGATTCAGTGCTTCCGTGGCGTGCGTGATTCCTAATAAGTGATTCGTAATTCCTGATCTGTGCTTGATTCAGCCATTACATAATATTATACGAATTGTCCCCANTCCCCACAAATCCACAGGTCGCTATTGATCGACACATGAACAACATTTTCAATGATCGTTTGTGACTGCTCGCCTATTCAATAAACTAGTGCTCACCTATCCACAACTGTTTACCCTAACGATCAGTCTTCTATCTGCGATGTCACGAGGTGCCTGAGAGCGAACAGGTTCACCGAGCTGAGCAACCCGCTACCTGATCAAGAACTGTCGAACCAGACACTGATTACGATCCACGCAAGTTGCATGTCTTACAAAATAGAACGGAAATTGCTCCAAATTTACTCACATGATACACACGGAGCCGATTTAAATCAGTTTATCTTGCCTAAATTAACCAAGGTAGTGTTTTGTATCCGGGCTATATGGTACTTTTGAACAAATCGGCTTGACGCCACATAGGATTGAGATCTATTGTTGCGATTTATTGTTGCGAAAGGTTCAGTGTGGCCGGAGGTGGGTGTTTTGGTTTGGGGCTAGTTACTCTGTAATGCAAATGTATTCCGGGCCCTTAAAGCACAGCAAGAATAGGATAGCTGCTTGACAGGTTGTTCCATGACCCATAAGAGCCTGGGTGGTTAACGGAATTGTGGCCGGGGTGAGAGGCGATGACACAAAAACGCGGGGGAGCGAGCTAAAGGATTTAGAGGAAACACTGGCATACAGGTGCTCCATTGTTTGAGGTTCGCATAAAATTTGCAAGGCCAGAAAGAAAAGCCAAGAGCACACGTTCGTGATAACACATTACTGATGTTTACCAAACGTCACAAAGCTTCCTTTTCAGCGCTGCTGAAAAGGCCTTGCTCACTGCCCTCCTGTAGTAGAGGTGCATTCCCACAAAAGTGGGAGAACGGAAACCAAGATCCCGGGGCTATAACCAGATCAAAGAACCACTGGCAGTCCACCTTGGGGAGTTGGCTAAACACTCTGATTCCACATTGAACGAAGACGTGGGAGCCATTCATAGTGTTCACCTGCTCGATTGGTTACGGACATATGTTGGGTACCATCCAAAGAACTTGGTATTTGATGAATTGGATACACCCCGAATTAGCTGCAGTGTTCACACACCTCTATGCTACCTTACGGGTCGAACTTCGGCTAACAAAAGGCTCTGGTTGTAAATTAGCTAAGAAAATTCATTTGATTTGATCTGGGCAAACTGACAGTAATTCACCCACCATTTTTCTTGGCTATAAAGATTATTGTACCGTAATGTTTTGGGCACACAGTCTGGAATCAAACACCTATGAAAGATAATACATACATACATTCCGAAACAAGTATTGTATGCTATTAGTTTATTTTTTAAATGTATAATATAGTCCTAAATGAATCTCTAGGCATGTAACGCAAACCCATTATCGATTAAGAACCCACAAAGAGGTGGCACTGGGTTTCTGCTTAGCTCATCATCAGGTCGTGCATTGTGGGACCAGATACCAGTCGTGATTAAAGAGAGCTCAGGCTCATCAAATAAATGATTACGGAAGGGCAATAGAGCTGCTGGAAGACGTGACACGTTGTTGTCTATCAGATATCCTACGCATAAAACTCCTCATGGTTCTCACTGTAGTTCAGCAGATATGACCAGTCACTGATTAGATCGTTGCCTAGAGCCCCGTCCTATTTCTTCGAAAAGGCTTTTTATAGCAAACCACTGGATATAACTTTTGGACCTCTGCCATGAAACCGAACTATTCACCAGTCGGAAATAGTCATATGAACCTACGTGAGTATGGCATTAAAAGTGTAAATTTTACAGAAAAGTTATCCACTAATCACGGAACACCTTGATCGAATCAGAGAAGTCGTTTTCCTCATTTTTTATTGATTCATCTGGAATTTAATCTTTAGTTCACGTGACTGATTGGAGTCTCACGTGATTTTATAGCGTCAGTTTTCACTGTGCAGTGGACCGCGAACCAGAACAGACAGCGTGGTAACATTCGGAGCCGAATATACATATTTTTGATCTCGCGCCAAAACAATGACACAAAAAACGGACTTGCAACGTTTGGGTATATTCAAAGAACTATCGTATCATACAATTGGGGATCCGTACGTGCCGTTCGCGACCACAATCAAAACAAATACATCCAGCAATAAAGGACTGGCTCCGATGTATTTGGCCGGAGGTTATTCGAAAACCAAGGCAGCCAACTCGGATGGATATTTTCATCCGTTCGAATCGGCTTTCATCGGTGATGGTGGTATGACCTATGCCGATTTGCAACGTCAGGAACGGAAGGCAAACAAAGCCAAAATGATCGGTGGACGTGACTGGATTCCAGCCAGTGGACATAAAAATCGTTCTGGTGTTGGAAGTACCATTGGAAATTTTCAAGAGGTTCACACCGCAATGGATCCGACCACAAAAGTTCCACAAAAAGTACCTGTATTGAAGAATTTCTATACCAATCCGGGGAAAAAGGGTACTGGTTATGGATATCCAGATGTTTGTATGAATCCATTCCCGGCCTGGCAAGCGGGTGACACGGGTTTGGGCGCGGCTCGTCGAATTTTCGAACAGGCTCGAGCTGAGCACGCGACGAAATTGAAAGGCCGTGCAGAGTTTGTTTCAACTTGTCGTTCGTTGGACGCGTTCGAAAATAATCCATGGGCATCGGGAGACCCGTTGGCTCCAGGCGGTCCAAGTAATCTGAAATTCGGTATTGCCGCTTTCCCGAAATCTATGATCATCGGGCCTACCTTTATACCATCCAGTCCGGCCAAACACGATGGAGGCATGAAAGCGGGTACAATCAATCGATTTCCCGAGTATACGAACGAGCCTTATGTGGATCCACATCACATCGGCCGAAGAGATAAAACCAAATATGTGGGCGGAGAATGGATACCGAACCGATGCACGGCAGTGGTTGTTCCACAACCATCGATTGTGAACAAGAACACCATGTTGCGTATCAACCCGAGAACACGAAAAACTCGACAAAGAGTTTGGGATCTATGTTGATCGTCATCGTCGTCATCATCGACAGTACATTATTGGTCAACTTTATAACCGTTTGTTTCTGGTGTACAAAAAGGAAACGCCCCCCTCACCCAAAAAATGTAGGGAACACTGAATGTAATCATTCTTGTCTTCATGCACTTATGGTGCGTGTTTGTCCATTTTGGGATGAAATAAAAACAATGGAAACTTCAGTTACATTACGTCTTATAGGGAGAAGAAAGTTGATCATTTTCTCAGACAGCATCAGCTTCAGTTTTCAGATTTTTACCTTCAAACATGGATTTGCATACGCCACTTTTGGTTGCCAGATAAAGCAACTGGATCACTAATTAAAACATTATCACATCACATAAGCATAATTATGAAAGTCCGTTTCACCAAACTTGACTAAGTTTCGAAAGTTCAATAGAGGCAATCAAACCTTCCGAAAGCTTCCAACTCTGTTCCAGTTAAATGCCATATTACATGAGGTGGCGCTTATCGAGAGCTTCATTGACAAACTTTGGAGTTTCGTGTTTGCATATGCTCGACAGATAGATAATTTTTCAAGTCCGATAATGTTGCACAACAATGGGTATCATTTGCTGGATGCGGTAAATACAGTTCCGT